GCCCTGTGCCCCTCGGAGGCTCATCCCCGTGAGGGACTGCGCGGACGGCTTCCTGTGGAGGCTGACAAAACGACAAGTTGGTAGATGGATAGGATTATTGTTGCTCGGCGACGCCGACGCGTCTGATGGCTGTGCAGGGGAATAGCTAAGCGTGGGAGGCAACTCATTATATCAAGGACATTTTACATATTCGCAAGAATGATACGACCAACCTGGCTCACATGGGGGGTTCAATGTACATTGGTTCACTTCATGGGATGTCGCAATGTGGGGGAAAGGGGGGGGGAATGGGACTCACGCACTTGAATTTTGGAAGAATGTGCACCGGCTCGTGGGGCCGCGCATTTGAGGTTATCAACTGTGCTTGCCGATGGCACTGGACAAAATGGTGTTAATTAAGTTCCGGACATTGGCTAGTGGCAGTCTCGGGGATTTGCTACGATGATTGATGCGACTCTATGTGGTTTAATTCATTGGACTTCCGAAGTTGGGGTTGGTATGCTGTTCGTCGGGCTACGCCATCAGTGGTGTGGACCGCAGCCTCGATACTTTCCCAAGGCGATGCTCCGCCAGTTCAACAGCGGTGGCAGCACTGCACTGAGATCACCCTGCAATTGTTGTGCATCGACTCCTCAACAATTGTTGAGAGAGTTACGTTAATTGTATAGGCCAAATACGTTCACACTCGACAAACAGTAATTTTGGAGCCGACGCCACAATCCACAATCACAAATGCCTCCTTGCGATTGGCTGTGCGATCCCTAGGTTTCGAGATGCGCACGCAGTTGCACATCCTGGCGCGCAGGTCGCTGAATGCAAAGCGCTTACGTGTGGTTGTGGCGCGACGTTGATCACGGTGCTTGGTTTATTTTCAATCTCTTGTTCTTAATAATTTTCTTTGTTTTTTTTCCTTTCTTTGTCATGTCTTTTTAAGTGTGAGTCCGCTGGAATGCCGCTGGTCCCCCTGCGCCAGCGATATGACAACAGGCTCCGCCCCATCTCCAACGGCCGTGTGAATATAATCTCCATAAACCGGAGCCAATTTCCTTGAGATGGTAACAAAGAACACAGGTGACCAAAACTCCAACAACATTTGTTGTTGGACCCACACAAGAGTCACCCCATAGAATCAATCTATCCTCTATGGGGATCCTCTAAGGGGAGCGAAAGAAGCATATGTGCACATCCACCTTCATTTGTGGCGGATCTTTAAAAAGCCTCAGAACGAGAAGAGCAGCACAACCAAACTTCGCATCCACCCGTTTGTGCTGCCGTCCGCTCCCTACCCCAAGCACGTCCCTACAAAGCAAACCCGTCCTTCCCATTCGTCCATTTGCAATGATACTTGCTCCCAAACCTCACCACGTGGACACAATCCTCACGGCGGGGCCCCTTGTCAACAGAGCATTGGCGTGTCTCATGGACAGCTCAGAGGTCCGTCAGATTGACCTCAAGCTGCACAGTCCCCGTAAACACCTTGCCGCTGGCCTTCTTCTCCTTTGTGCCGCTCAACGGCAGCCAAACCGCGTGGCTCCCAGGGCCCTTGGCAGTCAGCCCCCCAACGCACACCTTGACCACTCCCAGCCACTCATCCTCGCAGCCCTCCTCCCTGTGGTAGCACTGGACCTCGATCACGCTCGAGTCGGTTGGCTTCGCCTCTCCCAGGTCGATAGGCTCCATGGCGAACACGGGAAAATAAGAATTGGTTACCACATCCGACTCGTGCCTCTGTCCGGCGTGAGAGACGACCATGACAGGATTGCAACTCTTCCTTGACCCGAACAGCTCGTTGTCCATGCTGGTTATGTTGCGCGCCGTCCTGACTGCCAGGCCGAGCCGCAGGCGGCGCAGAGGCGTGCCGTCCAGGGCGTTGATGCCTCGCAAGTTGGAACCGTCGTACATCACCTGTTGGCGATAGCATGATGGCTCAGTGCGTCACTCCGCTACGAGGGTGTGTTGCAGGCGAGGCGAATGCCCGTAGATCATGGTTCGTCAACCGAACATTGCAAGAACACCATCTCGCAATGAAGGACACAGAAATATCCAATCATTTTTCGCTCGCGCCCAAAAAGAAGACGGCCTGCAGCAGGGCTCCAGCCGAATGTCACAAATCAAACAGAACCTTGGCCTTGACTACCCTCTCATGCCCTGATTTGCATTTCGCGCACGTGCGCATTTATTCCACTGCATGTCAGTGACTTGGAGCTGAGGGCCGGCTCGTTGGACATCGGCCCCTCAGGCCCAGAAACCCATTTAACAGTCACTATCGGTGCGTTTTCAATTATCAAGACAAGCAACACCGTGCGGTGTTCTTTTGTAGTCAAGCGGGCAAAAGCAGCACAAACTGAGCACGGCGCTTGATTGTTAGCGCGACTTACTGACTAAAAGGATTCCGACCTCGCCTTATCAGGTGAATGTACAATTTAAACACGTTGCCAAAGGGGGTGGCCATCGTTGCATGCTGCCCCTGTCCCCACCGATCACTGTCGCCGCACCCCCGTGCATTGCCGTGCATTGCCATGCACTGCGGTACATGGCCATACATAATGAGGCTGTACATGCACTTGCTGCTGCTCACAGAGACATCTCCACAATCTTTACCCGACATCGCCCGCTCGGCGAAGGGCTTGCTTGTTATGTTGCGACAAATGCGCACTCAATGGGGTTGATTCAGTCCTGCGCAGCATGGAAAGAGTACCACGTACAGTCGTTCTGCAGGGTGCGTCCAACTACTAGAGCATATGCCCATTCTGATGCCGTGGATCTTCCGCACCTCAGTAACCGTGCGGGCCAGCACGGGCTGTTTCATGGAAACAAAGCTCCAGTAGGGGCCGTTGCGCAGCATGGTGCCCATGAGCATGCTGGTACCCTCAAGGCCTGTGGTCACAGCGTAGGTGAAGAGGTCTTTGGGTCCGTCGGAAACCCGGAGGCTCACTGACCTGACGTCGTCCATACTGGCGTCCTTGCTGTACACGTTGGCCACCAGCAGGATGTGCGTGACGTTGGCAGGGACGCGCTGAAAGTCGATCTGAGGGTCACAGAGCGTGATCGGCATTCCTGTCTCTTGTTGTTGGCCTCTGCATTCGCCGATTCCTGATTTTTGCTCGCCACGCCTTACACCATGGTAATTAGCTGTGATTTAAATTGCTGGGGATGGGGAATGCATGGCAAATTGCTGTTTGACATATCAAACTGTCCATCGCAGGCGAGAAAATAGGGCTGCGCATTATTGTTCATCGCCATTTGCATACATGTAGTCGCATTTGACAGGATGGCGGGAAAATTCATTCTTCAGTTCATCTTGCAAGCCAGGAGCGGCGCGGAGCACAACAGATCCTTGTTTCTTCAGAGCCGTTTGCTCTCGACTTGGATTCATGCTTGAAGCCGCTCAGCACATCATAATTTGCAGCCATATGCTGAATTCTCTATTGATTGCAATTGTTTGCAAGGCTCGTTGGAAGCAGAGCGCGTACAGATTGCAGAAGCTCACCTTGAGGGCCTCCTTGTCACCTGGGTGGCTGGATGCCGCAGTGTTATCTTTAGTAAGAAATGCAATTGAAGAGGACTCGTTGTTAGGATTATCCCACCACACAAAATCTAGGCATTGTTTGTTCTCATCGAAGATGGCCGCCGCAGCATCAAGATCGAACCCTGGGGCTTCCCATCCGAAGATGGCGGCAACCGCCCTCGTGTTGGTGTCAAAGACATATGTCTCCCAAGGGCGCAGCTTGGCAAATTCCTTGGGATTCCGCATGCCCAGTGGGGTGGTGGCTTGAAAGTAGACATAGACTGTGAGGCAAGAAGGCAACAAAGTATAAATGTCAAGGCGTTCTGACGCACGAGGGCTGGAAAACGAGGTGTGCGGCCGAATCAATGTTCGCAAAGGGACATCCACACATTGTATGAACCACATTTTTTGGGTAGGAGGGTGAGGTGGGGGGGCGATGGGACACCGCCGGCCTCGTAACTGCCAGTACACTGCTTTGTCATGGGTTCTCCACCGCATCTAAGATCCCGAATTTTCCAAAAAATGTATGCACCGGAATGAGTTTGCATTGCAGCGACAAAAGGACTTGTAATGTCTGATGCCTAGGAAGAAGTGATGAATTTCAGAATGGTTCTAGGGCTGACAGAAAAGGAGCAGAACTTGCTTTACCCAACGTATTGTGGTGGCTGGAGTACACTTGGATAGATTGGAATTGCGAATTTGATACCGAAACAAGGAGGCAAACAGGCGGTAGGCAGGCGTTGCACATTCGCTGGGTCGGATGCGTGTTACAAGAATTGCAGTTGCATTGCTTTTGCGGAGTGTGAGAAATTGGTTGAACTATGAACTTAATTGAACTTAACAGTTCATCTACTTAGTAATTCGTTTTGGAAAAGTGCATTCGGGGCTGTACACACAGTCTTGAATTCGCTGGTCGAAACTTTAATGTGGTGACGTAGCCTTCACATACATGTGATGACAGACTATATTTCATCACACGTTGAGGAGATGAGGCATTACAGCAAGCGTAGGGCAGTGTCATCACACGTTGAGGAGGTGAGGCATTACAGCAAGCGTAGGGCAGGCAAGTGCCTGTCACTGTGAACAGCCTTCCATGCAAACACGCATTTATATTTGCTTCACTCTGCATTACCAGATCGCATTTCAGGAATATATTTGACTTCCACAAGTAGACGCAACTTTAAAGAGGAGTACGTGCAGGGGGGCTGTGCGTTGCTACTGCAGACAGCGGCATATTTTGTCCAGCACATGCACGTGCATCATGTGTTGTGCAACAGATAGTGAGACAGTGCAGTACCCAGGTTGGCAACCCGGCCGATAGTGTGCCTGGTCCGCCGACGGCTGTACATTGCAGACGTTCCCTGGTGCTGTGTTGGCAGCTGGGCTGCCAGGGTGGGAGACGCAAAACATTGACCTGCCCCATTACGTGATGCAGGCCGCGCAGCCATTCCGCGGCTGCCCCCCCGTTGCTCACATTCCGTAAACCGCGCCTGCCTCTCGAGTTTTCCAGAATTGAAATTCAGCGAAATGGCTGTCAGAGCAAGGTGCCCCCTTGTGGTTGTGCAACTCACCTCCGTCGTCTGCCATCGTTCAGGTGTACACCTGTGACTGCAAGCGCCGCAAGACACGTTCCCAAAGTCAGCCACAAACCAGGAGAACACGGGCCTCCCTTCCCTCCCGTCGATTAGTCCGCGCGTTGGCCCCGACCACGGGGCCAGGAGCCAGAAATCCCAAACAAAGTTAAGGCGAAGGCGCGACATCCTTGCAAAAACCCAGCTTGCGAGGATCAAAGCACACAGGGGGACCGTTGCGGCTGGCCGATCGACAGGCCACCGGGCGCAGCGCGCACGCACTCCACCACGCGGGCGCCGCTAGCTTAACCAAGGGAGGAACGACGTGGGCGGGACGCGGCGCCAAAGACTGCAGACTTGTGGCCGATTGCAGCCGTGAAATCACGTATGCCAAGGCGCTCCGGTGTCCCCGTGCACTCAAGCATCTGATGGAGGGGGGCCTCACCTCAGCACCAGACACTCGACGCTCCCTTGGGCCCTGCGACACCACCCAACTTTGGCCGAAGCGCACTGCCTCCCGGCACTTGTCGCTTTGCGGCTGACTCGTTTGAGGTGAGTGCTGTAGCCCGCCGCACGATTGGAATTCATCCGACTTGATCTGCGTTTCGGGGTCCAACGTGGGGCGCGCGTCATCGGGTGAGATCGCGGCCGAGGGCCCTGTGACCGCCATGGGGGGCCGCTGACTAAATTGAGGGCGGTTGGCCGTCCCTTTCAGGATTCACAGCCTCTGGAGAAGCCCGCCCATCCTGGGAATTGGAGTCGGGGAGTGCCCGCGGATTCCGCGTTGTGGTGCGCGTTGAGGTGGGCATCCAGGCTGCCAGGAGGGGCGCCGTACCCGGTGGGTGTCGGGCAAAGGATGGGGGAGCGCGCAGCTTTCCGTGCGGGCGACTGAGCGGGTGACTTTGGCACCGGGAAGTTTGTGCTCGGGGTTTGGCATCCCCGAATTGGGGTTCATCAGCCCTGTTCCTGCCCCGCGGGACGGATGTTGGGCAGCGGCTTTCCGGTCCCCGAGAGGAGCGTTTCCGGACCGCAAGGAAACAAGGTTTCCTGGAGGTGCTGGCAAGCAACACCTCCTTGATCATACCCGCGATTGTTGCCTCACATTCGCGCACCAAATGGCATTCAGAAACTGGGTCCCTTGCGGTTCTTTCGGAGCTCGCCGTTGGCGCGGCAGCAAACTACATTCGCTCCTTTCTGGCTGTCGCACTTGGCTGACGGTTGGCGTGGCGGCGCTGCGGGCACCGTCGGCTGGTGCAGCGAGCGTGGCTTTCGACCGCCTACGTGGTCTCTCAAATGGGCCTTTTAGGACTTGCTGGGGCAGCTGTCGACAACGATGCTCTCGCAGAGGGTTGCGCACCTTCAGAGAGCCGTCAGATGGCACAAAAGTCCACAAGCTCGCACTGGCCAAGCCGGCTCCGTTCCGTGCTGCGTCGGGTGCCCCAGTCCTTTGACGTGCCGCTCTCCCATAAATTTGCGAGCGGTATTTTGCACATTCTGGCATTTAGTTCATGCACGGGACCATGAAGAGTGCCAACTTCCCAATTCTACCCCCCCTTTCAGCTTTGACCGTTTCAGGACTAATTGTTCGTTCGTGCGCCTGCAACGGGTGTGAGAAGCACACGAAGAAAGTCTCTTGGGGTGACAATATTTTTCGTATTTAATTGCATAGCTTTCAGTATCATCTGGCGCCAGCCTGGCGATAGGCGTGGCAAAACCCGACTGTGTGTCGCTACTTACTATTCTTGCCAGAACGCGTACTGATTTGCACCCAACATGACGCCGCAGGTTAGGTGGTGGTCAGCGGCACGAGAGATTTGTAAATCTCTGCAAACATCCGTTGTAAACATCTGCACAAATGGTGGACTACAAAAAGGACATTGGTGAGCCCATTGAATGCTTTTTGGAATAGGAAATGGGTTCACCAGTGCGGAATTCAGGATCCCTTGGTGGACGCAGATTGGTCCTGCTGACGTCGCCGTATTGTGCAGCGTGGTGCTCTGTGGCAATAAGCGATGGACTCAACCCCAAGCAAGTTCCCTGGACAGCAGAATGTTGCAGGCGAGATTCATGCCGAAATATCCTTCTTCCATTCAGTCGCCTAGCGTTCAGCCCCATGCCTGGAAATAGTTTCGCGCCCCACTGCCATCTGTTGCATTATTTTGTCTTCGCTCTGGGCAAAGACTCTCAATAAGGGGCTATCGGACACGCTCGAATCGGTCCCTATTTTGTTATTGCGTGGATTGCCAACATTAGATAGCGCCGCGCTTCCACTCAGTTCGAGGATTCCTTGCCGCACAAACTCGAACCTCCTCTTCAGATTCGCTTCAGCAAATATCTCCCAGAAACATGAAAGAATGTGTGGGTGTTGCTTGCAGCGACGCATGGCTCCGTTCACATGGTGCCCAAACCACCGGCAGGAGCCGCTGCCATCGGCGAGACAGCAAAGTTGTCCGCAAATGACGAATACATAATCGATGGGCGGGTGTCTACACTGCGGGTCGCATTCGATTGGGAAGGCAAGGATGGCGGCCAGGTCGACGTTGACGCCTCGGTTGCTGTTTTCGACGACAAGTTCGAGCGTGTAGATGTCGTCTGGTGGGACAGAAAGGTGATGGTAGAGTAGCGCACCATGTCATCACGTCAGTTCACAGCACATCACACATCCCTCTCTAATCACATGTCGTCAGCGTGCATCTGCCCTTACAATGGTTGTATGGCGCTGGAGCTAGGAGCGCATTGAAGTTGATAGCTGACGGCCGGCTCTTGGTGTCTAAGTAAATGCATACATGGAATTCCAGAAGCTTGGGCTGTCTGCCAGTTGCCGCGCCTGTGGATCTGGACATTCGTCATTTTTGTGGTCAGCAGACAAGCAAGTACTGTTCCATTCGCCATCTTGGGGACGACAGGAATGGAGATAAGAAGGGGGACAACGAATCCATTGAGGTAAGCCTGGATGAATATATGCATATCGCATTCTGAAAATAGAACTGTCACAGCTGAATGCACAGTCAGCTGAGGAGAATCCCATCACAGCACGAAAATGAAGCGATATCCGCACAGGGCATTCATGTGTGTGGCGGGGATGTAGTTGGAACAGAGCCATGCTCTGTGCGTAACAGGATGATTTGCCATTTCGACAACGCCGACACCAAGCAGGCATTCTGAGCATGTTTAGAATGACACAAGTCGTGTCAAATGTACCTGTTGCTCGCCTGGTAGTACCTACCGAGCTTCCCTTCCAGTTAGGACTTTGTGTTGTGGCGTGCATCATCCAAATGCGTGGAGTGCTGTATGTGTCACGACCAGGACAGAAATCTTAGTAAACAGCAGCGACACTTCGCCAGTGCACTGCACACGCGATGAGTGATGCCTGTGAGAACTTACCTGTGAATGCGGTATATGGAGTTCCAATGGCACATGGCTCATCACATCTGGATCGCTGGGCAGTAAATGGCACACGCCCTGTAAGTGTCGGATAGCCACGTCACATGGCACCTGGCGTGCCAGTTTTTGTAGATGACGCTTCGTAGCACTTGCTCGAATTTGCACTGCTGCAAGGGGCTGTATTTTTTTTGCCATTTGCTGCCCCCAGGTGTGTAAGCGAGTAATAGCGAATTGAATGGGCATTGGGAGCGCTGTCAAAAGCCATGCCAACATACTCGCGACTCGCATTGCGCTGCAGAGTGATCACTTGCTGCGCGTGACCCCAATCAATCGTCTTAACGGCGGACTGGCCAAGGCTTTTGACCGACACCCCGCCGCTGTCCTGCAGATTGACCTCGCGCAGGTTCCCCTCAACGTGCACTACATGTTCTTCACCGAGAGCGTCTACTCAAAGGGGAAGAGCCTGGGGCACGCCAAGCTGGGCAATGTAAAGCTCCAGTACCCAATCAAGCCCACCCGATCGCTGGAGCTTGCGACGCACGACCCCGGCAACTACAAGGGCACGGCCGCCGCGGTGGGCCTCCTGACCAGGAAGGGCGCGTGGTGGTGCTTCACCGCCCTCAACAAGCCCTTGCAGGGCCGCACAATCAAGGAGATCGACTACTTCACGGACTTCAAATCGCTCGTCCAGGAGCCCAGCGCCCCCGCAAAGATGTGGAACTTGAAGGTGCGGATTGGTCGACGCCCAGCTTCGATTGCAGTCAAGCGCTTGACCCCAAGCAGTTGCCCGAGGCTGCTCTGAATGCCACAGAGTTTGCGCACCTCGGCGGACACCAGGAGTTATTCTTTGGAACCAGGAGTATGCGGCGCACGCTATTGCGGGCCAAACAGCCGCATTTTTGCATTTGCCTCCTTCCGCCCACAGTGCCCATCCCGTTGAGTACGTTCCCTCGCAGGTTTGGGTGCCTGAGGCCCGCAACGTGGCCGCCTCCGACAAGGCCGGGGCCTTCGGCAAGAACGTGACCAGCGACTGCTTCGTGGCGATCAATTGCAAGGACCGGAAGTACGTCTCCCCGGTGGTGGAAAAGACGCTGAGCCCGAAGTGGCCCGCGAAGAAGCTGGACCTGGGGGAGGCGATTGAGTCGGACCACACGCTCGTGGAAATCAAGGTCTTCGACCAGGATCCGTCCAATGATGACGACTTCCTGGGAGCCGCGTACCTGGCCATGGGGGGAATGGCGAAGGCCGGTGTCGGGGCCCACGAGCTGGTGGCTGACTTGGGCGATTCTCTGGACGTGAAGGAGAAGGTGAAGCGGGGCGTCCAGTTGACTGGCGTGGTGGTAGTGAAGTGGGAGGTGGCGTCATCTGAGGAGGAGTGACGGTGATGTCGGAGCAGGCACAGCGCCCATGCATCTTTATCCTTCTTTGGGGATTCTCTTCCTGGCCAGCTCAGTAAATGTCCTCGAAATGCTCACGCCGGTGCCATACTTTCAAGGCCGTTGCACCCTGGGTTCCCATCGCTGCAGCCATTTAAAAGCCAATGCTTCCCTGACTATTGATTACGTTGCCTGAAACTACACGACCTCAATTTCTGTACCAATCCGCAGTGTTCCATGCTCTACCTGATCCGAAGTCCATGTCATGATCAAAGGTATGGGCCGGAGAGGGCAAAACAAGTTATTAGCTTAAGCTATTGGCTATTACCACAAGTAACCGCACCTGGATCTACATGAAACTGGAGGCGGCAATTCAGAACACCCTCCAAGGGCACCCATTTGAAACTTGAGCCTGTGTTCCAAGCTGGTCATCTGACTATCTTTCAATCGCAGCCTGTGAGCCACGAAGTTCAAAACTGTCTAGGTTTCAGCTACACAAAGGCCGCCACCGCCGCCAAACCGGATACCTGGCGTATCGCCAGCCCCACCCACGTCTCTTTCGTTACAACTCGCTAACCTGCTCTTAATGTGAATTCCCCTGTTGTCACCCTGAATGCATCGTTGGAGCAGCCCTAGCGTTTATGCCGCCTCAAGAGGCGACAACTTACCCTGTCTTTGCCTTGACTGGCACACAAACGGCAGATTGCGGAAGGCTAAGTTGCACCTGCATTGAATTGTTTGGGAGGTGAGTGGCAAACGTTCTTCGAGGTGGGGGGGGATCTGCATTAGGGCGCAACTGGGAGTTCATGGATAACTAAAAAAAGGGCACCCAGCAGAAAGACGCTCGTGACTGCTAAAAGCTCCGGATTCGGCCACTAGGTGCCACTAGGTGCAAAGGGGGTGGTGTGCCATATTCAGGGAACAATAAATGCAGCATTATAGTCCTTTTCAGTTGTGATACTTTTCATTTGCTGTCCAGTTGTGAGTCTTACAATTTCACAACAATTGAAACGTATAACAAATAGTGCAGATTGTGTGCAAATCAACCAACAACTGTACTGGAACAAAACGACAATAAAAGCCCATCGTCTTTGGGCACATTAACTTCCTGCGTCTTGTCATCAAACTTGAGAAAAAGTCGTTTAACACGCTGCTCTTGGCGCCATGGGCGCTTGTGTGGCAAATATTCGGGTTGCAATGCACGAATGCAACGGAATGAATTGGAAGACCACCAAACATCATTTCCCGCAGCGTTGCGAGCTGGCAGAATGTACTAGCTGCTGCCCATACAGGATATGGCAATGGCTCATTCGACTGAATCCTATTCGCAGCCATCCACATGCACAATTGTATATTATTCTGCGTTCTCGGTGTTGATTAATGTTCGGTCAAGTTTAAGGTCAACAGCGCAGACTAGTTGGTCAGAGACCCCTCAGGTAATTGCCTGGTTTGCTGTTGCACAAAATGAAAAAAAAATCTACCACAAGCATTGAGTCGCATCCCCTGACCCACAAAGGCAAGGCAACCGAGGTATCGTAGTTTGATTTGCGTGTTAGGCGCAGTGATGCACTGAAACTTTTAGGCGGGATGCATTTCAACAGTACATGGAAATACGATTCGGAGTGATCGCCTTCTGAAATTTGCTCAAATAGACTATGCTCTAAAGCCGACTGGCTTCCCTCCATGTGATTTGCTGCTCTATCAGTAGCACCTTTAGGGTAACGAAAATATTTTTTGTGTCCATTTTGTCGTATATATGTTCCCAGATGTGGATTCCAACAGCGATAGATGATAGGACAATGCAGCCCACTGATTAAAAAAGACGCAAGAGTATCTTCCGATAATCTTGGGCATCGGAATCGCAGGTACAATTCAAGAAAGGATCCTAGATAAAAGTGGCATAGCTCCTATGTGTCATTATGCATGCATCATGGTGTCAATAGCGACTACCCAAAGCATGGCCAAACTTACATTAACTACAAGAAGGGGACAGGATTCCAATATTTTCAACTAGAGAATATTGTTCTTGTGATTCGCCAAGGAGAAAAAGAGAAATGGGTATCCAAAGCTAGGAGATGAACAACATTGAATTTATCCCTGCTTTGATCCGAGGTACTTCCACCGGAAGATTGCTCTCTTCACGCCACAATTGTGAGCGTTGATCGGGGAGGGAGCAGGGGCCGTCGAGCTGCCCTTGCAATGGCAGTATTGGCGCTGGACAGCCACGGCCGGGGGGGAGGTGGCCGAATGGCGCCCACACGCTGTTGCGAGGCAAGCGTGGCCCTTCCAGAAGGCGTCAAAGGGATGCGAGAGGGCAGGGGCTGGACGGCCCAGCATCTCCTTCCGGTCTGGTTTTAAATATTGCTTCATTTTTTTATGATCCCGTTTTCCAGTGCTTCGGGGTGTCGGTTTCACGCTCAACCGCACCTCCCACCTTACGCAAACCCCTCAGCGGCGCCCCGGTGGGCAACCGCCACCCCGTCACATGGCGCGATGGGTTCGTTCGCCACGCCCTCGCCTAGGCAATTACATTGATACACATCACCGATACGCTTTGTTGCAGTGCTCGACGGCGCACCACGCGCACTGCCAACCCTGCACGAGGGGAAATCACACAATGCGCTTGCAGAGGGGGCCTTGTTTTGCAAGGCCCAACTTTAGCATTTTAGGGCAATGGACCTTCCTTGCAAACGATGTGCAGCAAGGGGCGATTTCTTCGGGAATGGTGCAAGTGACCTTCCAACAGTTGGGAAGGTCTGTTATTGCATATTGCACAAAACTCCTTTCATTTGGATTTCTTTGGACTTTGTGTGTGCTCAAGATCTACCAGGATTTATTGTTGTCCATGTCCAATTAAATATTTGTGAATGAGCCTCTTCAAAAGTAGCTGTGCTCCGTGGAGAGGGGATGGTGCTTAGTACAAATGATCCATTTCCATTTTGATGTATTGGAATTCTAAGCCTAGTGCATTATTTCTGCGTTATAGAAATTGATCTTCATTGCCAATGTGTCCAAAGCACTGCCATCTTGTTATTCATATCATGGCTTACCAGTCCAGAAGTTGGGCCTTCAGCCCAAAGTTCTGAACTTTTGTCGTCCCCACATTATTTAACAGAACCTGTAACAATCGTTTCCTTTTTCCTTTATGGAAAAGCGAAGAACCTTTTTCTGGATGATGGCATTTGCATTCCTCTTCCCGAGCTCATGCGTGTGCAGTTACAGTCGGTTACACAGCAACCGAGGCCCTGCATAGAGACTGTCGCACTCATCCTACCGCCTTCAGCGATGCATTTCACCACCACGATGGGTGGCCCGCCCTCGTGCTCAGCAATTAAACACCCGCCCTGTCGCTGTGACACCCTTGGGCGCATTGGCCCTCGGCGGTTGGGTGTATGGTGCGGCAATTGCACTCCGCGGAGAGGCGGCCAAGCCAGTGGCGATTGTGAAGCGCCCTCGCGGGCCTCTAGAGCTGCTGCGCGGCACAGCCACACGCACAAGGCAACTTTTACATTTGATTTGCTATTCCGGACGGTCTGCACATCGGACACATCGGACGGACATGCACCATCGGTGCCCTGCAGTGGGCGCATCTGGGGGCACAGGATCAAACCAAAAATGCAGGCGACGAACAGGGGTGGGTGTTGGGCGCCATCGGCACCACGTCAGAAAGCCATGTCTCTGCCCCCGTTGTGCTCCGCAGCCCGGCGGGGGGGGGGGCAGTCGCAGCCGAGGGAGACACACCCACCATCGCCTTCACACCCATCCACCCCCCGCATTGACTTCTGAGACAACCGTGAAGATGCGGGATCGGGATGGTGGAGGTCCATGGCCCACCCAGTGTTCGTGTTCAAGCACGTCCCCCGACCTAGGTGGAAGCCGCACCGCGGCTCTGCCCTTTCCAAATCTTCGCTCCAGGGCCCGGGGGCCCCGGACGCCTGGCGGACTGATTGGGCGCGCTATTCGGCATCCGTTGCCGGGGTCGCCAATGGTTGCCACAGCAGAACGCTACAAGGCTCTGGAGTCGCTCCGCGGCCCGACTAGAGCCCTCGCGGGGACGGCAACGCCGAGCCGCGCCTTTGGGCGTGGGCCATTGCCGTTGTGACGATCGGCGCCAGCGATAGTCTCCATTGCCACCGCGACGACGTGGGATCGCGCCTCGACACACGCATAAGCACACGCCTCGAGCGCAAGCAGGCACGGCGCGCCGCAGCCGCGGCACCGATAGCCGTGTGCCTCCCGTCGACCGCCCTCGAACACAGCCACCGGCCCGCCCAGGGATGGAGAGCATCGCCACGTCACAGGGGTCGATTCTTACACAAGAACGCTGAGTCAGACTCCAAAAAATTCATTTCCAGGGCGCTCTTAGCTGCGTTGCCAACTTATAATATAAGACCAGAGTGGGTTCCCATGACACACGCTTTGCAAAGCACAACAGCAACTCTGGTGACCCCCATTAAACAAGTCCCATAATGCGGGTTTCGTATTGGCCGTCCACATTTTACAAACAAACACCCACAAAAATGCATTTACTACAAATGCAAGCACCTTTGAAAAGATGGAACTGCAAAGTATGGGGATTTAACCGCACACCACTGATTGTTGAGAGCACTCAATTGTTTACAAGCGATTTTGAAATGCCTGGGGTTTAGGTTTAAATGCCCCTTTTTATCCTCGATTTTTTGTAACTGCAATGGATTGCCTCACCGAGTGTTGAATCACCATTGTGAGAGTCCCTACACACACGTGCTTGTTTGTGGCCTGCCATTAGCTGCGGAATTGGGTTTTGGCCAAGAAAGCTCCTCCCACCTTTTGGAGCTTGTGCTGTGGCTGAATGCCATGCATGGAGCCACAATACATGAGGGTGCAGGAAGATTGGGCAATGCGCAACACCAGAAACGTGGATGTCGCTACTCTTTTGCACCCTAGAGAGAAATGCCTTTAACTGGGAAAACGCCATTGCGCAATTATTGGCATGGGTTGGAAATGGGATGGTGCTTAGGATA